CTTTACATCCACACCCTACGTCTCGAACACCTTTGCCGGGCCTGCAGCTGCTCAAGCTTTCCTTGACGGCAGCACTTGGAGATGGGGATACGGTGCTTTCACAATCATCATCCCGGTTATTTGCGCCCCCCTGATTATCATCTTTACCCTCCAGTTGAACCGAGCCAAGAAACTCGGTCTCTACGTCAAACCCCATACCAACCGCACCTTCTGGGAGTCGGTGAAATACTGGTTAATCGAATTTGATGTTGCCGGAATCCTTATCGTCGTTGCTGGGTTCTCGCTGTTTCTGCTGCCATTCAGCATCGCTGGTTACCAGGCACACAAGTGGGTTGAGCCCAGAATTATCGCGATGATCGTTATCGGTGGTCTTCTCTTGATCGCATTCCCACTATATGAGAAGTACGTTGCGCCAAAGACTTTCATTCCTTGGGAGTTATTTCAGAACAGAACAGTCCTGGTCGCTTGTTTACTCGGAGGGAACATGTGGATCAGTTTCTAGTAAGTCCAAAACTTCAGATGGATTATTAGCATTTCAACTCTAACGTCGCGGTAGCTGTTACAAGGTTCAGTTTTCGTCTTATTTGCAGGTCGTCTACGACCTCAGTGTTTCCAGAGCTGGCTTCATCACCAATATCTTCAATATTGTATCTTGTGCTTGGGCGGTTCCGGTTGGCCTGTGAGTGATTGTCGTAATACTACCGTTAGTTCTGCACTGACATCTCTTGTGTCCAGTCTCATGCGCTTCACCGACCGATACAAGTGGCTTGGACTGGCGGCGATTCCTCTTCAGATGCTTTCTACCGGTTTGATGATCAAGTTCCGTATGCCCGATACTCACCTCGGCCTTGTCATCATGTGCGAGGTTCTCGGCTCTTTCGCCGGTGGCACAATTGTCATGGTCGAGCAGATTGCCATCATGGCTTCCGTTGCTCATCGCGATGTTGCCGTCGGTCTCGCTCTACTGGCTCTCGTCACCAGTGTTGGAGGTGCTATTGGCCAATCTATTAGTGGTGCCATTTGGACCAACTTGATGCCCTCGAAGCTAGAGCGCTACCTTCCCGACGAACTCAAGGGCCAGGCCCTCCTCATCTATGGTGATCTTGTCACTCAGCTCAGTTACCCAATGGGTACTCCCGAGAGAGACGCCATCATTCGTGCGTACGGTGAAACGCAGAAGATCATGATCATCGCGTCGTTGGTGGCATTAGTTGGATCGATTGTTTGGGTTTCTTTGATGAAGAACCATCGCTTGAGTGACAAGCAGCAGACAAAGGGTGTTCTGTTCTAATCTGGGTCGGGCTGTTCAGCTGCATGCTGTGAAGCTGATATTCAATGAGCGATACTTACATCCTGTTTTTTTTTTTATTCAACGAGTTGTGTGAGAGGTATGAAATCATGCAGAGAATCTGAGCTACGTGACGGGCTTGTCCTAAGGCATACGGCCAGTGGTCCATGATATTGGATTCGAAACAATGACTCCAAGCTGGCATGACGCAGTCTCACAGAAAGAGACCAATCTTTCACGCAAAGACATTGTGGTCAATGCCCTTCCGCAGGCCATTTGTGCTGAGGTTTGCTTTCAGCGAATGTCACCCAAATATAGTTTTGACTTCAGCAAGCCATCCCAGCCATTTAGATGGTCAAGTAGGATAGTAGTGACTCCAAAAACACTAGGTGTCAATGAGAACATGGCAGAACCACCGCTACACCCCATTCAAAACATGTCTAAGCCTCTCACAGCCCAATCGCGACCTGAAGCCAACACCACCGTGTTTCCTCCAAAGCTGGTGATCCCGAAACCCTGGGACCTTGCCGAATCCGAGGCAATGTGCGGAGGGATCCGGGGTTGGTGTGGGGTCGGAAGACGGAAAACGGAGCTCGGAAGGGCAAAAAATGCCCAATCAGTTCGGCGATCGACTCACTGACGAAGCCACGAGGGCTAAGAATTGCTTGAAACGGAATCTCGCATGTACGTGCCGCTGCTAGCTAGCCGGGTATGCCAGCCGAGTGTGTCTAGGGTCCGATATTCGTTTTTCGTTGGTAGGCTCTTGAGTGATGTTTTTGGCTGGGACTCCGGAGCAAAGAGGTGTGAGATTCAATCCCGGCCCACCGCCGGAGCCGTCACAACCAATTTCCGTCTACGAAATTCCACTCGGTGTGTTCAGGTTGGTCGTGGCCTCCGCAAAAGAACCTGCAAGAGAACAGGTCCCGCGGCGCTAACCCGCAAATGCAGGCCTCTTCCCCGCCCCCAGCCTCCGAGTCATGTCTTCACCAGGTCCATGTTGTGCCAAAGACGGTAGTCTTTAGCATTCTGGCACTCGGGAGATGTCACCTCCACGTGGAAACTGCGGAGGGCGGGGAGCGCTCTCCATTCACCCACGGGGAGAGCTGGCAAGCCCCTGAACTTGGTTCACGCGATGACAGTTTCCCCAGAGTATAAGACTTTGGGCGATCCCACCGGATCCTGGAGCCTTGGACAGTCGAGGTCCCTAGAGCACGATACTTGATTGTCTTTGCAACGAGGTCCGTTCCACTAATCCAAGCCGTCAGTACCGAGTATTCGTAGCCCAGCATGGCGGATACGAAGGCCGAACCAACGGTCCAACATGAAGACAAGCAGCGTTCGGAACAGCTTGAGGACGTGAATGTCGCAGCTGCGGCCGCCCTTCCAACAACTGCGGTCAATGACAAGCTCACATTTGCGGATTTTTGGGACAACAAGCGCGTTTTGGGTTTCTGTCAGTTCATCCGATTCGCCTTGTAGCTTGACCACCACATACTAACCTGACCAACTGACAGGTTTGATGATTTACCTTCTGCCGATTAATTTCGGATATGAAGTCACCACGATCGGGAAATTGCTCGCAGTCACACCCTTTGCTAAAAGATTCGGTCACGAAGTCGGCGGAAAATGGGTTGTCGCAGCCCGCGACCAACAAATTCTCAACGCCGGCGGTACAATCGGTATTTTCGTCTCGGCTTTCGCAACAGGCATCGTTAGCGACTTCATCGGCCGCAAGCGAACCATCATCATCGCCTGCTTCATCTGCGTGGGTGGTATCATCCTCCAATACTTCAGCACGACCGTTCTCATGTTGTTCGGCGGCAAGACCGTTGCCACTTTCGGATTCGGTCTGGGCCATTCGCTAGGCCCGGTGTTTGTTGCTGAGCTGGCCCCAGTCAAGATGCGTGGCGTGTGCCTCGTGTTGGTCAACACGATGATCACTATCGGCCAGTGGCTCAACTCAGTGACGGTGCTGGGGAGTGATCACTACAACAACGACTTGTCATGGAGAATCCCTCTCATCACCCAGCTTATTCCTCCCGGCCTGCTTCTCCTTGGTCTTCCTTTCCTTCCGGAGTCCCCGAGTTGGCTCCTCATCAAGGGCCGCCGGGAGGAGGCAGCTAACTCATACCGACGATTCAACGGACCCAAGTTTGATGTTGATGGGGCTATGGCCGTAGCAACAATTGCCATTGCTAAAGAGCAGGAGGCCAAGAAGGAGCAAGAGTCCAGCCGCTGGCTTGATTGCTTCAAGGGCTCGAACGGGCGCCGCACTCTTATCATTGTCATGGTGTATCTCGCGCAACAGGCGATCGGCGTGAATTTTGTTAGCGGTTATTTGACGGTTCGTACACAATGATAACAAAATGACAGACACAAGAACTGACATGTCATTAGTATTACTTCCGTCTTGCCGGAGTCAACAACCCCTTGGCGATCGGCCAAGCCGCCTACGCGATCCAGTTTGTCGGTAACATGACATCATGGCCGCTGGTCGACAGATACGGACGACGTCCCTTGATCGTTGGCGGTGTCTGTACAATGACCGCTCTTCTGCTCCTTATCGGCGGCATCAGCACCATCGGCACTCAAACATCTCTGTCAGCGACAGTGGCTTTCATGGTGGTCTGGGGATACTTGTATCAGGCGACCCTTGGCGCCGTTGCGTACTCTGTTGGCGGAGAAACTGCGAGGTAAGCTGCACGGATACCATGTTCCCATGTGTTGAAACTCGGGACCCAGAACCAGTCAAACGGTTTGACCCTGAAGCCCCAGTGTTGGCGAGACGGTGATGCCGGGACACCGGGTTGTGGGCCGCGACAGACCGGGGGCCCGTTCAAATTTGTAACAAGGACTGGCTTGCTAACGAGATTGCGAAAAAAACAGTGTGCAACTCCGTCAAAAAACCTACAGCATCAACATCATGTGCTCGACTGCGGCGTCTTGCCTGGTGCAGCAGGTGATGCCCTACCTGATTAACACGGATCAACTTAACCTGGGCGGGAAGGTCTGCTTCATCTTTTTCGGCCTGTCTCTGCCCATGTGTGTCTGGCTCTACTACTACTTCCCCGAGATGAAGGGTCGCAACTACGCTGAAATCCAAGAGATGTTCAGCAACAACGTGCCGGCGCGCAAGTTCAAGACGTACGTGTGCGAAGTCAGCGCCGGGGGCCAGGCACAGGAGAAGAAGCTGCAAGAGGAGGAGGCATGAAGGGGCAACCGGTGGGGAGGCGGCAGCGAATGGTGTAATGTTTAATGAGTCGCTCAAAGCCTGAGGGCCATAGGGCTCTTCTGATAAGAAGCTTAAATGAGCAAAACACCACCCGCGTTAATGAACACACGATGTCGCGTGCAGCCATTGGTGGACGCCCCCCCATTTGAGCATTTCGGTTGGCTCTCTGTTGAGTGTTGCACGGAAATTGACAAGGGACTAATGCAGTGACGATGATTAGCGACGTTTTATGTTAAATAAACAACGCAGTGGGCCGGGATCATGATCGGAGATTAGTGTGATCCTGACGCCCTCACGCAAAAAACACTGAAGCTGTCGTAGACCGCCCACGTTTTTCTTTTAAACCCCCGCGCTCCACGATGGCTGTGCATCTGGATCAGCACTTTTGGGGGCAGAATCCAACACCTGCAGTTGATCACTGAGACATTCGGCAACCTGAACGACGATCAGCAGCGATCAGCAAACCAACACCGATTCACAATGGTTTCTCAACGGCTCTGGTGCCTTGGCGCCGCCCTTCTTGCTTCCTGCGCGCAAATTGTCAGCGCCGACATTCCTGAAAACGCCGTCGAACTCGATCTCGTCTTCCCTCGTGATGGCGGCAAGTACGGTATGACTTCCAAGGGCTACCCGGTCCTCCTCAACATCCAGAACCCCAACGTGGCCTACCATTACGGTTACGGCTTTGTCTGGGACATCTACTCGAGAAACAAGAACTCCTACCTTCGCACCGCTGCTCACGGCTCCCTTGGCGCCACCATCTTGAACGACACCGAGTTTGGTGACGGCCCGCACCTCGAGGTTGGCTACACCGGTCACCTCGCCGCGGGGGACTACACCTTCGCTTGGGTCTACGGCCTGGGCGCGCAGTGCGAGTTCACCGAGCAGCCTACCTACAGCGAGTTCAACCTGAACCCTCGTGTCGCCAACGGCAGCTTCGACTTCACTGTTGAGAGCGACGGCTCTGAGCCAACCTTCACCAAGACCTGCCCCACGGCCGTTGGCAGCATGAGCTACGCCTCTACAACGACTTACAACTCTGAGGCTACCAGCGTCTGCGGCGTCACCGCGACTCCCACGTTCGACACCGATCCTTGCAAGGCTACCCTCAGCAATGAGCAGGCAACCAGCGTCTACAGCGAGTTGGGATACGCCGCTGCCACCGGATCTTCCAAGGGAGCTGCCGACTCGAAGATGCCGTCTGCGTCTATCGCCTTGTTCTCTGGTCTCCTTGCTTCCGTCGCGGCCTTGGCATAGACGTAGAGACACAGCTTACTCGCGCATGTGGAAGAGGCGCGCCAACCATGCGACGAGCAGCATCCAGCTGAACAGCGACGGGCATCGTGACCTGCCCGATTCGCAGCCCTACGGCCAACACCTCCCTCGAGCGGGAGGGTGTCGAGTGGCGGAGCGAAGGCGACATATGCAGATAGCATCGATTGCGTCTTATCTTGCTGCTGTGCCGTCGTTAGCGTCACTGTCTTAAAGTTGCATCGCAGCATGCCAGCCTTGTTTCTGCCCACAACTGCGCTCTTTTGCCCTATGGCAGAACGGCACAATTCCAAAAATAAGCCAGCGATCTGCACAACGTGGCTCGGCGCGGACCTGGGCCTCCGTTAGAGCCTCTGGGTGGACAGAAGTGATTGAAGAGGGGGGACGGGAGGAGAAACAAGAGTCACGAATCTGAGGGGTTTTGAGAGACGGAAGAACAAAAGATACCCAACCACCGTCGTCCGTGTACAGGGTTGGTTCAGTTCAGCCCCCATGGGCCCAGATCACTGCCGTCTTTGGTAGCTCGAGTCGGCCTGCAGGGAGAACAACCAATGACACAGGACGTCGGCTGACGTTAGCAATGAATACACAACCAACGATCCAACGGCATTCGTCGCATTCTGTTCAGGCTCCGATATGTGACATGCATCTTGCATTCTGATGGTGACCTGTCAGCAGGCATCCCACTCCGTCTCGGAGGGATGCCGTCGGCGTTGCCCAGGCTCCAAGAGTAAGACAAGCTTTCTAGGCAAACTGGTATTAGTTGAGGCTCCCCGGACTCCAGCCACCATGCAACTTGCCGTTTGATCGGATCATCTGTGTTTGCTTTTCTGCCAGAAGCCGTTGACACATGCGACCAGGATCGCGACCAAGCGCAATGGCACACCAGTACCGTCAACACTCGCATAATGCGAGCACGAGCTCTGAAGACACTATTTTTGTCAGCCAGCCAGACAGCCCGTTCATTCAGAGCCCCGACAAACGACAGAGCCTGGGATCTTACAAAGCCTATCAATCGCCCTACGTTTCTGTTCATCCTGAAGATGTACCTGGCAGCGAACCTGCGTTGAGTAGCACTGGCGAGTCGAGACGATCCACTCGCTGGAGCAGAATCTCAGAGAAGACACATCAAGCCCGAGAAGTTTCCAACTCAGGAACATGGACCTTTGAAATAGCCAGTCTTTGCGTCACCGTTCTCGCTGTTGCTGCCATCATCGGCGTGCTTGCTGCGTATGATGGTCGGCCCTTGGCATCATGGCGATTCCAAATCACCATCAACGCCGTAATTGCAATGCTCGCCACTGTCGCGACTGCAACTATTGCCGTTGTTCTCTCCAGTGGTATCAGTCAGCTTAAATGGATTCACTTCAAGACTCGTCGCGAACCTCTGTCTGACATGGAGGTTTTCGACGATGCAAGTCGAGGGACCTGGGGAGCCTTGATGATGCTCCTCAAGCTCCGCGGAGGGTAGGCCGACCCCGCCATATATACAGTAAGAAGGGGACTGATATTACATTTGTTCAGATTTCTAGGGTCATTCGGCGCTTTTGTTGCCATTCTCACCTTGGCATTCAGTCCGTTTGCACAGCAAATTGCCACTTTCCACGCTCGTACTACCGATTCCAACGAAGGCGCCACCAACCTGCGCTCTCAGCAGTACATGATTGCATTGAGCAGTCAGACTGCGTCGGAAGGATTCATCCCTATTCTGCCGTTTAAAGCTGCGGTCTACAACGGCCTCTTCGCTGAGAACGGCAAGCCGTGGTTAAGCCTTCCTGTCAACTGCCAGACTGGTAATTGCACCTGGGAACCATTCGAGACTCTTGGTGTGTGTAATACTTGTATCGATCAGACCGAATTCATGACCAGGTCCTGCGAAGAAGGCTCGACGGAGGACATGACACAGTGTGGCTGGGCTCTGGATAATGGAGCCAGGCTCAAGACTCACGCTGATGTTTTCAGCATGACCCCCTTATTTCCTAGAGGCCTAGGAGATATGACCTACTCAACCATCATGAAGGTCGTATTTATGGGAACCGAGAAGCAGAATGGTACTGCCGGCGTTGTTGCACCCTGGGCGAGGCAGTGCACATTGCAGGCTTGCGTCCAAACCCTCAAGTCTTCAATCAAGAATGGCGAACTCAACGAGACAATCACCCATGTCCAGACCAACGATTCTGTTCCCACTGCTACAACTAATGACCTGGAGCCCATCTACATCAGTGGCGAGAGCGGCAATGAGACGTATCCCATTGACATGAAGGTCATGATGGGCATGCGCTCGTGGTTCTCAAACCTGTTCCGCAATGGCTCGGCATCGCGTAATGAGGAGGTTCTCAATCAAACCATCACCAGTCCTGACAAGGTGATCGTCAACCTCACCGTTGGTATCTCTAGCGGCGAGACATTCTTCGACACCGACATTGTCCAAGCGTTCTACTGGAACTACTACGAGTACCCAGGCGGTATCGACATGCTGATGAACGATCTCGCCACCAGCGTCACAGTCAGCTTCCGAAGTTTTAAGGGCACCAATGTCACTGGACTAGCACATACCGTGGAAAGTTACATCCATGTCGAATGGAGTTTCCTAACGTTACCTCTACTCACTGTCCTGCTGACAGCTGCTTTCCTGAGTGCTGCAATCTACCAGACCTGGCGTTGGAAGGCAAGTCTGTGGAAGAGCAGCGTTCTTGCGACACTGGTCCACGGACTAGACCGGAATGCGAGAGAGCGTCTTGAAGACTTGGGAGGCTTGCGGGAACAGCAGAAAGAGTCAAAGGTCGTTACGGTGCAGCTAGATGAAGGAGATGGTGGGCTTCTGAAGATGTCCAAATTCGACGACATCTGAGTGCAATTTTCAAATAATGGATTGATACGGGACAGGCATGCAAAGATTAACTGATCCGCTCCTTACTATGATAATGTTAATGGTAATGACCGAAAGCGGTGGTTGGGATGGAGCTTGCGCGAGATGTCAAAAGGCTTTGTCACATATATCCCCAAAAAGCTTTGTGGAGAGCAGTCTTGTTTGAATCAAAGATAAAAAGTTACTCGCATTTTTGACCTGTATCTTGTGTACCATGGTCGATACTATTTACATTCAAGAAAACGCTGATCAGTTGTCATCCAAATCAATGACTTAGACGTACTCGGCGCACATCACGTCGCTACCCAGATCCATGACTTCGGCAATCGTGGCGTTAGGCATGATACCAACCATCCACAAGTTGTGGTTGAGAGTAGTTTCGTTGCCAGAGTCACCGTCATAGTCTAGGATGGAAGCGCTGGGGTACTCCATACCGTTTTGCTCGAGATAGCTGTCCAGGGGAATGTTGCGGCCACCCATGTCGGTCAAGCGGGTAGTGAGGTTGGCCTGCTGCCACTCCCACCAGAGACGGTCCAAGTTTGTGTGGTGAAGGAAGAAGAGCGGGTCACCGGGGCTACCGACAACATCAAGCATCTGTCGGAACGGCGTCAGTTATCAATAAGCCAATGGATTTGGGCAAGGTCAAGCTTACGGTGCCACCAACAGCAGAGTGGCCGGCGGTATGGGGGTTGACTTGGTAGCACTCGAACGCCGCGGTGTAATTATCGGAGGCGAAGCACTCATCGATGTATTGTTGCTGGCCAGTCTGGAAGCCATTGGAGTTGAAGGAGCGAGTCAGGCAGTCGTTGGCGTAGTTGGAGGTGGAGTTGATGTGAAGCGTCAGGTTGACGAAGGGGCCGTCGGTAACGCAGTCGCCGCCCTCACCACCAAAACCAGTGTCGGGATCGAAGACAACAGACTGGTTGAGGGCATCCATGTCGAGGACCTCGTTCCAGTACGGCTGGCCACCCTCGTAGCCGCACTCAGACTGAAGCAAGTACTCGTGGACACGCATGAAGTAGCGGTGCCAGGGGAGGAAAGATCCCTGTGTTGATTATCTGATTAGATCTCCTTGTCCAATCAAAAGTTCGTGTTTTTAGAAGACCCTACAGTGTTGTGGATAACGTTGGACTGCACAATGTGGGCCCAGTCGAGCTCGTCCCAGCGGTTGATAGCACCCTCAATGTCGGTTTTGGCGGTGGTGTTCATCAAGCAGAGTTCTGCGTTGATGTACGCCGACTTCTCGGTGTCTGTCATGTTGTTCCATGCTTTTCGCTGCGTCTTTGTCGTGCAGGTCGTGTTCCACGAGGCCGCGGCGGCCGCGAGGCCAGACGTCGCGAGGACAGTGAATAAGGAACGAAGAGTAACAGTCATTTTGGCCGAGTTCTAAAGAAGGAAAAGACTAAGAAACAACTGAAAAGGAAAGAGCGAAGTGAGATAGTCGAGTTGAAGCCAAGAAGCTGCTGCTGATGAAGAGAGAAATGCCTGAACTCCATGGTGAACAGACACAACTTATAAGATTTTCGCTGACTTAGACCAGGCTACTGCACGATGTTCCTCATTGCCCAAATCGTGATGTTCAACACGGGAGATTACTGCTGCTGCTGCGCAATCGGCCAATGCGCCTCGCTTGGCAAACCGCGTCACCCCGGCTTTATTGGGACGAACCGGCGTTTGTAGCCCACTTCCCGTCCCGTTTCCCCTTTTAAGCGGAGTCGACACCGCAGAGACATGTGGGATGAGGCTCCCATGCTTAAAGCTTCCCCTGACTAAGACCCAGAATAGAAACAAAACTCTCCACACAAACACGTAACGTGTAGCCTTGTTATATGGGAGAAGGGCTCTTTGGCAGCCATTGGCCTGGGTTGCGGTGAAGGCGATTACGTCTCTTCGGCTCCGACCGGTGACATCGCGGCATGCGCGATACCGTATTCTTTTGTGGGGGATCTCGGCTCCTGAACAGCTCCTGCGCGGCTCCCGAAGAGTTGGCTCAGGTAAACAGCAAGCTATCCAATCCGGTCCCTGTTGTCAATGCACGGCAGTTGGGACAGTGTTGCAATGTTGCAAAGTCCACAAGCCGCGTCAGTTAGAACTTGAGTAAGCCTGGGGCTCATCCTGCAGCAACGATGTCTCTTGATCCGGGATGAGGGCCTCTAGTCTCCTGCCTCCAGCTTAATGCCTCAAAAATCGAGAAATCTGTGTATACAGAAATTATTTTGGTGACATCCGGCGAGCGGCTAGCCCGAGGTGGCATTCGCTTCAGCTTGCAGCGCCAAGTCTATCATTGGTGCCTCCATTCAGGTCCATCTACTGGGATTAGGAGTCAAAATGAACCGGCAGTCTTGGCAAACCACAAAGCTGGAAGCTTAGCTTTGCCGTAGAAGGATGATTAGATGCAGACTTCCAGATCATCTCATCTTTGGGATCTGCGCGCACTGGATACTGGCTGCCAACGCTTTGACACTGAACATGTTCTACGCGTAAGAAGGCAGGCTGTGGAGTTACATTGGCTGCACGGAGAGTGAACCAGCTTACCCCGGGAAACCGAAGAATGGAGCGTTCCAGGCCTAAACTCTTGACGATCAGTGACCGTGGTTGGAAGCCACACAGTCGAACGAAAGTTACTTGCGGCTGCCATTTGATAAACAACGAGAGCGCTTGGACATCTTCATTGACAAGAAAACTGATTGCTATTCTTTTTATTTGCTTACTGATATCGCTGATGGGCGAGCCATTCCCAGACGCTGTTGCAACTCAACTTTCGCTTGGTTGCATGTGGCTGAGCAAGTTTTCTTACACGAGTGGAAAAGGCATCCCTGTGTATTACACAACTGCGTGGTCTTGAAATTGAATAGTTTCAAGCAGGACTGGGTACTCCGTGGCACCAGAATGCTAGAATCTAGTTATTCTTTCTAGGATATGTTTGTTTATTCACGACATGCTTTCAGGTGGGGGACCCTAAAGCTACCTAGGTCAAGCCACAACTTTGCCTCCCGTCGGCATTTTGCCTGCGGCTCCCACCGCATTCCGAAGGTTTCTGGACTTCCGAGCATTCCACTTGTCCGTGCTGTTATTTGCAGCTACTCAAGATGCCGTTCTTGGACGAGGTCATTGAAGCCGCTGCCGCATCCTTGGTGTTCTCGGCAAGTCCGTCGGCCACTAAACAAGGCTCGGCTCTTCCCCAGGCTTCGACGGCTAAGCCACTTCAATTCAAGCCTGGCTTGTATTTTCCGCCCTTAATCAGAATTAATGTCTTTTTGCCATGCAAGATATAGCATGAGCAGAATGAGCCATCTTGAGAATCTTCGTGTTGGTTGTTTGCGCGCCGACGTGGGCCGAAGCTTTCCAGTGTCCGTCAGTGCGCTACAGCCCTCAAGATGCGCTTCTAGGTGGTAGGTAAGGTAATCAGCTAAAAACCTTCTTTGACTTGCCGATATTCGAAGACAATACTCTGCGGTAGTCACTCGTCGCCCAAGTCAAAAGCTCTTCTGGTTGCAAGGTGTAGGTAGTTCTTGAGATTGAGCATGATTTGAGACCTGCCCGGCACACGACCCCTTCTCTTGCAGGCTCTCAAAGCTATATTCATTAGCAGCCGGAACGTTCCATCCTAGTTCGGCGACTCTCTTCTAGTGGTAGTGGAGGCTTTGATCTGGGCATTCAAGTGAACTGACGTCAGTGCCATCTTCCTCGCAGAGAACTTTGCTAGTCGTAAAGGGAAAAACAATTGCCTCCCGTGTTCGTAATATGGTAGTCACGGTGTACTGCATGTTCTTCTAACACAAAGACGATCAAAGCTGCCCTGACCTCGCCAAAAGCGAACCATCACCACATGGCCTACAATGACCTACATTTCGGGAGAACAAACCGTCAACAGTCCCAGAGAGGACATTACCAGATCCCATCCATCGAAGATATTGAGTTTGAGGCCTGGCAGGACTAAGCCAGCTTGGGCCATGACCAACATGGCGACTAGCATAATCAACTCTCTACGACCACGGCCAGACACTTCTCGACACTTTCGTTCACCAGTCGTATCCGTACATCTCTCTTTGTGATGACGTCCGCAAATATGCCAAGGCGCCTGACAAGGGGGGCACTTTTACTCGAAAGGAATGTCGTGGAGGTGCCCATCCCCGATAAGGTGAATCCCATTGCAAACTACATTTGTACTGTCACGGAAACCTCTCTCAGACATCGAAGCACCTACTTGTGTCTTATGGCCGGCCCTCGCTCAGACTTCGACTGCCACGTCGTTCATCAATATAGGAAGCCTTATTTGTAGTGAATGGGATGCGATGTTGGGCGAGAATTGCGGATAATTCGGCGTATGAAAATCAGAGACTGGAGCCTGCGGTATGGATTTGCAGCGGCGACGTCGTTGGTTGTGCGGCGAGACCCGAGGGACGGCAATGATTTAATGCGCAATGCAACCCTTTTTTTCGCGTGATCGTTTCTTGAAGAGACTGAAATGATTAGGGTTGGTTTGATACAACAATTACAGACACGCTGAAAATGAGCGATTCAACACTAAAGCTTGACCGATGTCCTTTCAAGGACTTTTCTGGAACACCACTGCTCATAGGATGTTGGTTGACAGCACGCACTCCATAGCCAAGAACACAGGGTAATCGGCAACTGTTGTTCTGGGCAATAAAGACATGGTTCTTTTTATGGGAAAGAACGAGTCGATCGGCCTGCGCGTCTACTCCACCTCGGGAGTGGCTAGCTCCGGTGAGTCGTCCATCGTCAAGTGGGAGTGCCAAGCGACATGGACTCTAACGGTATTTCCGCTGAAATGTCCACATCAGCGGGGACTTCAGAGCGGCGGCCGAGACGATCTTCGGGATATCGGACAACCACCGGGGGAAGACCCGTGACACCGGTACGGATCTAGAGCCCGCGGTATATATAGAAATGTCCGCATGCCGCCCGCGGCAAACACATCCGAGCTTCACATCTCACCAAGGAAGAGCCATCATGTGTACGCTTAGAGTCGAAAACCATGGTGTTTTTCCTATCTCCATGAAACTGCAACTACCTCGATACGTCATCCAAAGAGATGAACCTAATTACCCCAGTGGTGGGTAGGCAGTTGACGTACTCAAAAGAAGCCTCGCCTTTCTTCAGTACCGATACCTCATGCCACGTCCGGAACTTCCTGTCATTACCGAATGTCTTCGCGTGCTTGACAGCCCCGAGGTAGATCGCGAGATGGGATTTGTGTTTCTTGGCCCACTCCTCCAGGGCTTGCAAGCTCGTGAAGAACCCAGCGCCACATGTTTCTTTCTTCGTATGGCCTGCTTCATCACGGTTGCCAAGATACCTCAACCCCATCGCTCCGCCATCATTGCGGTTGTCCCATAAGTAACCCAAACCACTCCTCAAAGTTGGCTCCAGGTTATTCTCATAGGATTCGGTTTCTTCAGGGCCACAGTTCTCCCAGAATTGTCCAGATCGGATGTGTACCATGTGGTCATAATTTGTCCCAACCAGGTGTTGCCCAAGTCCCTTCGGTGCCTTTTCTGGCCTGCTGCCATGAGCTGCATCGTCTTGCTCGAAGAGGTCGTGCGCAGATTCAGGAATACGGTCTCTCGCAGCGCCCCAGTACGCAGTCAACTCATGTTCCGCCGTCTTGGTTCCCGGCAATTTCGCCAATCCAGGGAGGTAATCGAGACCAGAGTAGTTTGTTTCCAGTCGAGAAATCGGTGTGAGGAAACTTTCGGTCCATAACCCAACATTCTTCCGGACGTTCTCGGGCAGGCTGGAGTGTATTGAGGGGAGACTGAGTCGCTGCAAGCTTCGCTTCCCTCTCGCTTCATCGTTCCAGTAATAGACCCAAATACTTGTACCCGGCAAGTCATCGCCATCCAAATAGTTGAACCGCTCTTTTGCCAGTGGCGGGTCTTCATCTCCGTCAAGCCAAGCCTGAACAGCTGCGTTGACTTGCTCGATGTCATTGTCGCTGGAGTGCGGCTGCACGCCGATGTAAGCCGTGAACAGCCGCTCGACACCGGCTGGAAGGACCAGCTGCCAGCGGGGAATCGGAGGTTTGTGATTCTTTGGCTGTCGAAGAGGATATGTTCACAAGGGACAGGCCATGTTTGCATCTTTCGCGAGTGCCTGCCTTTGATTCTAAGTCTCGTTTCGAAGCTTGAGAGGGGTATTATGTGCTTCAATTATCCACGGGAGTATGTCAGAAGGGCGCGGTCAAACGACATGCAGCGGAGCCGATCAGGGAAGAGCCATTACTAACAGAAAACGCCATTGGCCACAGGACCGGAATCATGCGAATCGCATCGGGAGCTACTTTTGGCTCCGAGTCGAAATGGCGAATAGGCCATTGATACTACATGCACCTGTCATGGGCAAGAAACTGTGCATGTACTGTTGGACAAGTCAGCGCAAACATACAACTCTGACATCTTTTCCATTGTATTGAATGATTTGAGCGGGAAAACATATTCTTTCAGTTGGCGAGATGTTCGTTTCGGGTTCCCTCCTTTGAGTGATTCAGAACATTGGATGGCACCAGCCTTGGAATAATCAACAGACTTACTGGTTAATTGAGTGAATGACACCACGTCAGTCCTTATGAACCGCAACAGCATATTTTGCCGTTATATCTGCGAACAAAAGAATTGTCCACTCGTTTTCGGAGAGACACTTAAGCCCGGGCCCAAACCGCACCTTCTCACGTTGGGTTTTCAGCGTCACAGTAAGACAACTCCAACAACTAAGTGAATCACAACCAAAAGAACTTTCCAGCCTAAGAAATACCACATCAGAATCAATATCCAATTTCCACCAAAGGTAAGCAACATGTCTTTTCCAGCCTCGCATACTTACGTCCCGGCCACGGCACCAGCTAAACGTGGCCCTTCTCTTCGAATTGACACCTCGTCCTTCGAGTATAGCGAGAAAGCGGTCTACCGAAAAACCCTCCGGATTGCCAACCTGTCTCTCTCTGCAGCCATCGAGGAAGTTTCCAAGCAGCCCCTTCCGGAATATGACCCCTACTCTCATGAGCGAGCGCAATTTTCCAGCTTCGCCTTAGAGCACTCGGGCGACGAGGGTCAGATGGACTACCTCCACTGGAAGATGGTGCACAACTGCCGCCCGGGGAGTATTTGGGCCATGTGCGGTTGTGAAAATACCATCATCGAAGTGCCGGGCGAGGATGAGGAGCCCTTGACGAATGAGGAGTGGAACCGGCGACTGTATGATGACCAGATCCCATTTGGCCTTCCAACGAACCAGCCTTCGACTGCGAACATCAACAGCGCAATACTGACGGATTACAACGGACCCGACTCACAGTCTGGCTCTTTGCAGTCGTTACAGGAGGCTAATACGGGAACCATTGCACTTGATCAGCAGGATCTGCAACAGAATTGCGATGGGTCTCCAGGTTTGGATCAGTCTGTCCCCTCGGAATCGTTGAGTCCTCTCGATGTGAGTCCAGTCGAGCCTTCGCTTCAAATGCCCTTTCCTTCTGAGCTACAAGCATCCTCTACAGACCTATCTGGTCAGCCCGCGTCCCAACCCGAGCCCTTACTTCAAATGCCCTTCCCTTCTGAGCGGCAAGCATCTTCTACAGACCAACCTGGTCAGCTCGCGCCGCAACTAAATGAAAACACCGAAGAGTTTGTCCCAAACCTTCGGGGAGGTGATACCCGAAACGAGCGCGATGCAGAAGGAGGGCGCTTAGCGTGTTCGAAGAGCAAGTTGCAGGTGCACTTAGGCCTGCAAATTCTGATAATTGTCTGCGCGATTGGAGCCCTGGCAATGCTCATTCTTCTGATTATATTCTACGTCAACCGGAAGCTTCTTTCTGGCTGACTGCCGGCGCGTAGTTCTACACAGAAGCACTTTACTATTGGGTAAGTTGGAAGTCAAAAGGGTGCACAGCAATGCAGGACAATAGAGGAGTTTTGATATGCGGCCGGATACTTCGGGCTAACCGAACAATATGACCTGGTTGCATCGACTAATATCTCGTTCCGATGTCTGTGTTATGTTCATCACCGCTATTGTCGTCTTCACGTTCATCATTCATACCATGCATGCCCCATTGGCTTGTGCCGTCAACAGCAACACCTCACCCAAGAGCATCTTCGCATCATCTGCCTTCGGTGGATGCTGGCGTCAGCAAGACTAACCGACGCATCCGGCAGTCTGTTCAACGCAGGCCTCTCTCGACGACTAGCCTGGAAGTCATACTGGTGAACTTACTTTCCAAAGAATGTTCCATTTTTCATCATGTTTCACCAGATACAGCACGGCCTTAGATGAACCGCATCTGATCTAGAACAGAAACTGCTGCACATTACCGGCTTCACGAAGTCCACGAATGAGTGACCAGCGGCTGCTCCGGGAGATTGCGGCGGACGTTCGAGAAATCATACCGTTGACGAGGCCGGTTCTCGAAACACTCACCGACCTTTCATAACTGTGATTAGGAGCCCATGGTGCACACCACATCACGCCCAATTTGGTATCATGACGTTCATTCATAGTTTGACAACGCATGGATGAGGCTGTCGAGGTTGACCCGAGCAGTCGGTGTGGAGGTCCTGATTCGGAATGAGGGGTTGAACGAGAGGACGGAACTTGACCAAGAACAGTCGCCATGAACCTGCGACATATCGTACAGGGTTCGAAAATCTTTCACGTCTAAAGGTGATATATACCTGATTAAATAATAGCGAGAATAGTGGCGAAAGGCAGATGCTGGTGATCACCATCATCTCCACGCATTCCCTTTCTTCCGTAAACACACGGCAAAGCGTTCTGTTATTACAAGATGGACATACATCACAACGACGACCGAATGGCAGTCGCGGAATGGCATGTCTTGGCAGATTTGGAAAGGGTGTAGGGCCCAAGCTCCATCCGTGAGAACATGCCAAACCGGTGAGGGGGTTCGTGATTTGCATGATGAAGCCGCCAGGTTAGCTTTTCGTCCGATGCCTAATCATTAATCTAAACTGGATACGGATACAACACCAAGCTCCTCTGAATATCTAGAAAAGCTCTCTGCAGCCCGACAGTCTGTAGATGGTATCAGGCAGTAACTCGGTCTATCACAAAAACTTCTCACAACGTTACTTGATCTCCTACAAACATGTTGAAGAACTGCATGCAAGCATTCCTCCTCACCCTCTGGGCCTCACACACTTGTGCCAAAGCTCTGGAGGCTCCCATTCCAGGCTACGGCGTCTTTGTCCCGCGATGGGAGATCACCGGTCCAGACGGTAAGAACCTCGTGCTCCGCGGCACGGTTGAGGAGGTCGCAGGCCAGCTCCGCAGCATGAACCCGGATTGGGATCACAAAGCCGCCACCCGCGATCTTCAAGACCGCGCCGTCTTTGACGATAAGTCGAACACGCTCTGCCACAACTTCCGCGAAGGCAACCGCTCGGCTGCCACGCTGGATATTGACTACCTTCGCTCCGTGCCTGGGAAGCCACTGAATGGAGCTGGCCCGGCGAATTGGTATGTTTTGAACTACGCCATTTTAGAAGAGCGCTGCTAACCTGTCACAGCGGAAGAGTAAGCTGCCGGAACTCGACCGGAATCTGGTGGTGCAACGACGTAAGTGAACAACTCCACCACTCAAAGCAGGTTTTCTGAGAGCACATCTAACATCCCTGAACAACTCAGGTCAACAGCCCCAAGGAGCTCACTTCCTTCGCTGACATTGCAGACGGCGCCAGCCGCGTCTTGAGCGTCTGCACAGACAAGTTGGACGCCAACCAGGGAGAAGCAATGACCGTCAGTGGCCAAGCCTTCCATCCGGAAAACTGGAACGTGGTCATTCGGGGTGGCGACGATTGTTCTAACTCTGGCCAGAACATCTCAGCCAGAGGACTGAAGCTGTCTCGTTTCTTCAAGTTTTTGTGAACATGATCAGGGCAGGCCAGGTTATGAATCTGGAGTTCGTTCAACTATCTCATCGCCGGTGGCCTGACTGTATCTAGACGTGTTGCAACTAACAATATCCGCCGTTCATGAATCTTGTTCACAATCAATACTTTCCTATGCCATGATAGCAGCTCAGTGACACCAATCCTGATGTTGAGGAAGTTTCTTGGCTCGCCCAGTGCGAGATTTCATAGTAGGCGGAAAGCAGTAAAAGCACTTCGACCGGTGCTCCCTCCAGTAAGAGGAGCTTGATAGTAGTTCAGCTGTGTAAACATTGCCTAGCGAACTCGTGTCCTGCCTTAATGTATGAGTGTAACTTGATTAATCTGGTGTACCAACAGCAGTGCAGCGCCTTGAGCCATACTGCGTGTGCCAGCAACATCGAGATTTTCACAGCGACTGTGACTTTGCAGAGACCGAATAGTAATCATCGCCATAATCCTCGAGGAAAGGGGTATTGATTTCTGACTTCCGATTATTGATGCGCGTGTCAAACACGACGTTCCGTGGAGAAAACGACCCAGACATTCGCTCTCTTCACAATTGTCCACCATGACAAAGTGCCAGAAATGAACCGCAAATCATCCCATCACGATGCTCATATCAGTGGATTCTTCAAGAACCGCACAACTCTTCATGTTCCCTGGCTTTGAGAATATTGAAATCGGCGTAGTCTAAGTCTGTCGGCTCTCCCCCTGATTCCCAGGTTCGAACCCGTCACGAAAGCTCACCCAGAAGGCCCTCCCAGCTCTCATCTTCCAGAGCCAAACCCCCAGACGTAGTCCCATACCCCCTCTCCCTCTCCCTAAGCACGCCCTTCCCCCTCTTCTCCTGCATCTTCCTCTGATCCTCTCGATACCACCTCCAAACCGCAACCCAAAACCCAACAAAGAACAGCATCCTAAATCTCGTCAGCCCATCCCTCCATCCATCACCATGAACCGTCCAGAAATGAGAACTCACCACATCGAAACAATCCCAATCACAAGCCCCACCAACCCCTTCCCCTTACCGCCAACACCCCCCGCACAAACAACAACACCACAAAAGCTCGCCATAACTAACCCGGCAGCCTGCATCCCCAAATCTGCTAGCCTCGTCCGCGCCTTCACCCCATACAACAGCACCCCTGAAAACGAGACGCTGAAGAGAACCAACAGCCCCGGCGACGCGACCTCGGCCAACCTGTGTCTCGTCAGCATTCATTCCCTCCCTCTCACGTCAAGTCATGCCAAACATACCAAGCCCAAACCTCAAAGTCCTCCCCATACATACCCATCCACACAATCCACCCCTCGACAAACACCACAGAAACACACTGCATCACCAGCAACGCCGCAAAGGCGACATCTCCCCGACCCAGACCCCACCATCCTTCCGCCTCAGCGCCGCCGGAGGAGCGGTCCACCCGCAACCTTCTCAACGCTGCCTCTTCGTCGTAGTCTTGGACCGTGATGATGGGCAGATACCCCGTCGACTCGTTCCACGCCACCTTCTCCTCCTTGGGCGAGCCGACGCGCGTGAGGATCGCCATCAAGGCGAGCCGTGATGCCGTTTCCATGGTTTTCAACCTCTCTGCGTGTGTTGTGTGACGTGGCGACGTTGTAAAGTCCGGAGCCGTGATCCGCTTTTGTGCGATTCCCCGGGTCATCGACTCGAGCAGTGAGCGAAATAGAGATGTCCGACTCGACGTGCGTTTTTACACTGGCAAGTTGTATCTGAACGCTGTCATAATGTCAATAACAGTGAGTTATGGTGTCGTTTGCTCCACATGACCACCACCACCACCACCACCTGGCACCTGAGCACCTCATCCCCGCCCCCTCAGCAGGCCAACCCCAAACTCATGTCTCAGTAGCACATGAGCACGCGCGAGACTCGGCATCAGTCAAATATCTCTGTTATACACGCTACATCATTACTCCAAATCATAATACCGTCCGGAACCCATCATACTCTACAGCCGACAACGCCAAAAATGCCCGCCCATCCGTCCGTCCAAACCATGCCCTCCCAATTGAAAGGAGAAGATGAAGCGTCATCATACTGGCCACGGCGGGAATCGCCTTTACTCCAGGCTCATCCTCGCCTCGTCGCCAATACCCCATTGCCCGCCGTCCTTACCCTGCAGAGCAAGATTGAGCTTCAGCCCCAACGCCGCTGCTTCCTCCTCGCTCTTGGCCTCGCTGGCCCTCCGGCTGCGGTCCTGCTCCGTGTCGACCTTGCTCGAGATGCTCTTGTCCGTAACCTTTCTCCTGAGCGAAGGCGTCTTGAAGAACGACCTTCCACCGGAGCTTGTCGATAGCGTCGACGCCGTATCGTCCTTTTCTCTTTCCGCATCCTTATTATGTATCGTTAGATCCGGCGTTGATTGTGCGGGGGAAACCATCTTCTCCTCGAGAGTGCTGTATCTCTGAGTCGTCAGGGCGGGACCCGGGGGACTACCTATCGGCGAGCCGGGTCGCGGCGGCGCTTGTGCTGCGTCGAGTTCGTGTGCAATCTCGTCCTCGGAAACCTCCACCAGTTCGGCATCGCGGTACCACTTTCTCCGGCGCGTCCATCTTCCCCAGCCATCTGATCCGCGGCGGCCGTTTTGCCACTGTGCCCGTCAGTTCTAGCCCCGTTGCTCTCTTGTCAAGGAGAAGCATACCTTGTTATCGTAGTATATCCAGCCGTTCTTAGCGGCTTCCCCGTCATAGTCCACTGGCTCGGTCCCATCGTCGGGCACACCGTCAACTCGCCACTTGCTGCCCTCAACCCACCGCCAGCGCATGTTGCTACCATCCTCGACTTCGGGCAATTCAAAGGTGTCACGCGACGGCACAGGGTTATTGTGCTCGTCAGTCCATGCAGAGCGTTCATAGGCGAACATGCTCTGCGTCCAGCCGAGGCCGACCCACCGTCTTTGGTTCTCGTAAATGATGAATGTGAACTTTACACCCGCGTCCTTGCTTGTGGCGTTGTTGCTGTGCCTGTGAGACTGCTGGCGTAAGGCCTTGGTCAGCTCTGACGTCGCCGGGCGCTTCGCCTGCACCTTGCCGGGTTCTCCATTCGCAGACAGGTCCACCGCAATTGCCTTGACAGGCTTCTCAAACGTCAGGCCGGTGAGCAGAGCAGCCGTCTTGCGAACCGTTGCACTACGCCACAGAAGTGTTCGAGCGACGCGCATGACCCTGGCATGCCATGTAAGGACTAGGGTGCCGAAGAGCAGCGCTATCCTCCTCGTCGTGATGATGCGCAGAGGAGGTAGAGTCAGAATCACCCAGAACGGCGTGCAGAATAGTATCCTCACGAAGAGCGTAGTTAAAGCCGGTCTGGTGGTGGCCGACGTCGGGGTCCGCTGGGTGCTCAGGAAATCCGTCAGCTCGAGTAGCGGCTCGAGGAGCACGTTACACCGTCCGGTGAACTCCTTCAGGGTCTCGACAATCTCGTCCAACGTCTTCTGGTGCCTTGTGTTTGTAATTTCCGACTCGTTGCGTTGGTGTCCCTTTGCGGCGTTGCCGGTTGTGTTACTCTTCGGCGCCAGCTTCTGTCCCTTGCCTGCAGCCGAAGGTCCCGCAGCCTGTCCACCGGCAGCATCCTTGGAGGCCGGTTCTGTCCATCCGCTGCTGCTCAGTGGACTGAAGCGACGGCCATACATGCCCAGTATCAAGGTCAGGACGACGACGATGGGCCCGGCCATGCGCACGACAATGTCTCCGTACAGCACGACGGCCCAGAAGGAGGCCAGCAGGAGAAAGCTCTCCCATGGGTCGTCGGTGGTCCATGTCAGCAACCCAGCGAGCTTGTTGAGAGGAAGCAAGAAGGGATGCGAGTATGCCAAGGCGCGTGTTATCTGGGGTGGTGTGGCGAGGAGCAGAGGCGACTTTTGATGGACGATGATTGTTGAGCGACGGGAGGAGCGGCTCGGGGTGTTTGCGGAGAGGGTGACGGGGGAGAATGTCGCGTAGGTGGGGGGCGCGCCGGAGGGTGTGCCGTCGTAGCCGGAGCTGGCTTGGGAGGGATCGATCGAGTCGGCATCGGGGCCGCGGTGGGCTTTCGGGGTCGACATGTGGACTAGCCAGGGCGTATCCTACGCGAAGCACGGGGAGGTTAGCCGGGCTGTTGGGGGTGGATAGACGATGGATGCGAGATGACAAGCAGCAGCAGCAGCAGCAGACGATGCGGCCGGGCAAGTCAGTGTCGCTGCGGAAAGGCGCACGAGGCGAGGGCCATTTGGGTGCAGGTCAAGAGAGAGTCGATGTAGTTGGAGAAGAGGGAAGAGGGTGTGGCAGGTGAGGTTATGACGTGGCTGATGCGTTGAGAGAGAGCCAAAGCGCGAGGCCAGGCCGAGGAGCTTTTTGCCGTACGGTGGTCAAGTGTTTGCCCGAGGGAGGTAAAGAAAGGTGTAGTGTAGTGGTTGGTGGTGGTGACAGCTGTCCGGAGCTCTCTCTATTTGCTGGAGTGCTCTGCTCTGCTGAGCTCGCAGTGCGCAAGGATGCGGCAATGCGACGATGGATGGGACGGAGAGGAGTGGAGGCAAACAACAGGCAGGCAGGCAAGGCAACTCGTCTGGCTGGATTGGATGCCGATGGACGGGGCAGATGGAGAGAAAAGAGCAGGGGAGGTGGTGGCTCACAAAGGCAGCCATCAATGTCCGGGCTTCCGCTGATCTTCGGGGGGCCCTGCTGCGGGTTGCTGCGGGTGTTGCTCGCTGGCCGGACCTCGTCGGGTTGCGGCTCGTCGACGACGACGGGAGGTCAAGATGGCGGACGAGGACGAGAGACGTCAAGTCAAGAGGTCAAGAGGTCAAGAGGTCGAGGGGCCAAGCCCAGCCGCGGGGAGAATGGAATGCCGTCGTCGCGGGGAACGGAGCAGCGCATGCGCTTTCGTCGGTGTCGGGTCGCGCCGGTGGATCGCAACGTCATCGGTTTCGGTCGCTTCGATTGCAGTGTAGGTGGACACGGGAATGGGTTGTGTGTCGCACTCGCCCAGCTTCA